AACCCAGCAGCAATCCATGGTACTCTGTCTCATTCACGGTCAACCCAGTATCGAATCGCGTCGCAGCCGATACTCGGAAAACTTCTATATTATTGCGCTGTAGGCGCCCCCTTTATTCTCGATACGGGCTGCTTAATTAAAGCTGACGACAAGAAGCGATTCTTCACGGCTGACCGTAGGGGGAGGCAAACTGATAATCTGTCTTGGTTGCTTCCGGGGCAAAATCGTGATCAGCATATCATCCACATCCTCCCGTGGTGTGATACTTGCGGCAAGAGTGCCAAAAAATTCGTCCTCTCCTTTGTTGCATCGGTTAATCTACAGAATGCAGGTTGACAGTGAAGCTGTCCATCTTACAAGTCTCTCGTTAAGGTCCGATAGTTGCATAAAACACGCGAGAGTTATAATACCGTGTGAGCACTTAAAGGTCCCGCGATACTAGTAGTGTATAGAAAACACCTCATATTCGGAGCTGGGCCAGGACTTCTTTCTCCACCACACCGTAGTTGATTTCATTCGATTTTATTGTGCGACTTGTGAACATAACAGGCCTATTCACTCCGTTGTGTTCTTGCAACAAAGATGCGGATACCGCCCATTTGCTGGCATAAATTTACTATTACTGGCCGACGATCAGGGTCAAATTGTCTTAGCACCGGGGTCTGGGAAACGTTGACTTTCAGCATTGTGAACGCGATCATAGCTTTTTCCCTACGATGACCACTTGTATGTTCGCCATTAGACCCCTCTGCATTCGGTTGGTCATGACCATCCATCTTTGTCATTTGTTTATCACAGCTACCCACCTGCCTCTGGCCATGGTCATCGTCGATCTGGGTATCACTATCCTTTTCTTGGATTGTTGCATGATCATCCTCCGAGTTGTCCAACCGCCTAATCTCGTGGGAGTCCGCCTCTCTCAATTCATACAGGACTGAGGCGTATATGGCGAGATCTTTAATGAACCGGCTGTAGTAATTTATGCTTCCTAATAAGGACTGCATGAACCGCAATGTATGGGAAAATGGAATATTGACCAACGACCCCAAATCCGTCGAGTCGGCTTCTATTCTGATATCGACACCTGGTGCCCGAGATACCCAACCTTGCATCGTCCCCACACACTCTTAGGTAAACTGATCGACAAATTCCACTGATCACAGACTTCCAACAGTCTGTTTACCTTTTAAAGGAGGAAAGTCCAGGATGACGCCGGGATCAGAATGTCATCAATATAAGACATCCACCCCAACACTGAAGACTTTCGGTGCGGGTCCGGATCGCCGTGCGTGAACACGTCGACCGGTTGTGACACCTCGCGACCACTTGATCTCCGCTGTTCGCCGATCGTAAAAATACCCGTACAAGGCATTGTAAACCATACGATGGTATGTATGTGGCGCGTTTTATAACCCGAACGTCATACGTAGCCATTCATACATACCTGAAGGCGTAATAAAAGCAGACACCATTCGTGCTCTATCCGTCATTTCCACAACCCAGAATCCGCTGGCCATATCCAATGAACAGTGCCATAGCGCTTTGTCCAGGTCCTGCAGTAGGTCTTTGATCAAGGGCATGGGACACACCATCAGCCTCGTCAATTGGTTGACGCGTCTGTAATCTATACATACTCGTATATCTACCCCATTCTTTTTTACGATCACTACGATCGGCGATGCCCACGGCGAGGTTGAGGGACATGTAATCTTCGCTGATAGTAACCCTTTGGTCAGATCCGCCAACTTTTTACGGAACTTTGGGGCGATTGGCCTCACTTGTTGTGCTATTGGGGTCGCCCCTATTACATCTATGTCACATATCACGCCTCGAGCCGCAGGTGAGAGGGCGTTTCCCTTGCCCTCAATATATTTCTTTTCTTCCAGATCAGCTGGCTTAATTTTTCTTGCTCTTTCGTCAATGGATCCCCTGGTTCTTCCACCTGTATATCCTCAATCTTCACCTCGCATAGCTTCGTGTTTACCTCCGGTAAGACTGCCATGTGTTAACCAACATCTTCCGCGAAACATGTTCCACCTGAGTGTTGGTATGACGTGCACTCCTGTTCTCCTTCGCCGATGGCCGCTGCATCTTGGTCTCCCAGATGGTCGGGCGGTCGATACAACTACCAATCCCCAACAGTAATTTCATCTGGGGAATCAGGGGATTTGTTTTGCATACGATCAGGTACTATATCCTTGATCGATTCGGGAGTGAACTTCTCTTCACACTTGTGTGGGTGCGTTTCGGACTGCTCGTGCACCAACGTTGTATCATGGATTGTCTCAATAGGATTGACCAAGTCGGCGGACGTTGGTGATCGCGTAGACATTTCTCTCTGGGGTTCATTCATTCATTCCTGCCGATCATGTACCGAAAAACAACCCGTATCACGTGTGGTGATCGCGTTAATAGCTACTGGTGATCGTTCTGGTTGTGGTCCTTGATCCTCTTGGTCATCCACCTGGTCACATGTCGGCACATCGTTTTCCCATTCCGCTTCCTCTCTCCCCGCGGTCATCTCTACCATATCCTGTGGGGGTCGTTTAAGAATCTGGGTTGGTGTTGGGTAAGACTAGCGTTGGACCAACGGTCCTTTTCTGCTTCCGTTACTTCTTCTTCTTCGTCTCTATCTGTAGAAGCATCGTATGCAGGTGTTTGTCACTCCAGATATCGATGTGACCCTACCGACACACACCCGTGTGACTGTGGTATCATGTCCGCCGGCATCCCTTACCCGAACGGCGTCCTCTGTTGGATAATCACTTTTTGATCGTTTAGGTTAGTTAGGCGGAGGCACGTAAGTCTTGCGGGTCCGGTCATAGCCGTGGGTACCCAAGGTGCGTGGCTGGTTAAACTACAATTTCGACTGCAGTGGTCCCCGACCAACATTGACATCTACTGAGTCACCCACCGGTATCGCCAAATACCTCTCATCCGCAGCAATTCGTTGTATCTCCACCCCATACGGTGATCTCCTACCTTTTAGTTGAGTTCTATCTTCTTCCGGCAAGCACACTGTTCCGTCTGATATTTCAAGGCGTATTCTAGTCGGCGCCATGAAATCCATTCCAAGAATTGCTTCATGTCCCACTTGGTCACCCGCCCGTACATTAAAGTAGTAAATCAACGAGCCATTTAGCGTGATCTTCACCTTTGTGCGGCCTTCTGCCATGCACAATTTTCTCCGATACCCACGCACTCTTGCTTCAGACTCTCATATATGACACAGCCAACCTTACGAGCAAAGGTGGTGTCGATGATTGAGACTTCAGCTCCCGAGTCAAAAATAGGGTGGCCTTCTCATTGTTAATTTTTCCTCCCCCCTTGGCTTGCCTGAACCACTTGTTTGGAGTAAGGTACTTCCAGTAACCACGTGATTCGCCCAGGAGACAACTAGAGTTCCATCTTTGTAGGTGATCGTGCGTATTCATCCGGTCGCCGCAAACTTGCAATTGATGGAAAAGAACTAGAGCTCAAATCACATGTATTGAAAATCCGGCCGGTCAGGCGACTAACACTATTATCAACCCCTCTTTGTTCAATGAATGCATATATGCATAGCCTTGAACGCCCGGCTCGTACCAGGTGTCAACCTGGCGAGCGTCCTAGTTTAACATCTTCTCAGCGACTGAAGGAAGCTTTCCGGCGTGTTTGGTCGGGACGTACCACTTGCAAAGCATAATGTAAAACTTTTTCATCGGGCAGTTGTCCCCGTCGTGCACTTCTCCACACACTGCGTATCCGTAAAAACACTTTTCGGAGGGGTGACCTCGGCTACCGCATATCTGAAAAGTCAGGCGTTTCCAGCATCCCCTGTCATCATGTCTTTTGGACCTACAATGAGTGCACGACTTGTGCCCTTCTGCACGCTCGTGATCACGTTCACTGTCATTCGATCTTGGCTTGGTTGGACGATCATTTCCCCGGTCCTTCATATGGTCGGCTGCAGTGGCACTGTAAACACGTCGTTGTTCTTCGTCTGATTCCGCACTGCTTATATCTGATTCCGACGAACTGCTCTCGCCCCCCACGTGGATTGCACGCACAGCTCGAGCCGGTTCGGATGGACTTGGAGAGTATGGCGACGCTGATCGTGAGCGGAACTTGCCTAAACTGATCGGGGGATTGCCTTTGCGCTTTTGCATACGTTCATATGTGTGCAGCGTTATCTCCAGTGTGTCCACGTCATCCGAACGCAGCAAGGTCAATCGCTTCGCGAGATCGTGGTCCTCCAGTGTCTAGATATAGTGTTCCACGTGCTCTCGGCGGTCAGCGACGTTCCCGTCCTTCACGTGGATTTTCGCTCGCATCCCAGCAACGTTTAACCGATAGAGGTATTCTAGCGAAGTTCATCGGGACGCTTGCAGGCGTGTGTAATACCGGCGACCAGCAGAGATGCCGCGTCCAGAGTATAGTGTTAGAAAACTATCCAGCAAGTCTTTCCACTTATTGCGTGTCGATCGGCTAAGCTAGGAGTACCACTTTCGTGCCGGGCCTGTTAGCAAATCTCCAAAAACCAAAGCTTTCTCCGAACTGGGGGCTTGGTTTCGCGAGAAAGCTGATTTGACCTTTCGCACTTAGCTCCGAGCGCGGTCATCATCGTGATCGCGGCCTGAGAACTATTTTAGATCGGCGATCGCAGACATGCGAATCCGCTGCGCAGCAAATACTTCTCCCATGATGGCTTCCGTAGTAGCCAAGTGAGGTCGATGGACGCCGTCAATGTCGAGGTCATCAGGGTCAAAGGCGTTACCGTGACTACCATGCGAGTCGGCCGATTCCATGTACGTGTCTGGCATACTACCCCGAGCACCTTGTGGTTGGGATTGGGGCGACTGGTTGGCTCAGAGCGTGGCGGCCGTCGCTGTTATTTTCGCATGAACTTTTCCATGGCCTTTGCAAAGTAGAGTTGCATGTGGTCGAGGTCGTAAGTAGCATCGACTGGCTCTGTAGTTAGTCTCAACGGTCCGGTGATTGGAGTCGGATGCTCGTGGTGGTCACATAAAAGTGCTGCACCGGAAGGTCCTAACGACATTCGCTTTATTTTTTAAGCTGTCGCTATCGTCCGCAATCGACTCCGCCGAAGCGTAATGTGACGACGCCGCTGGTGAACCGTCTTCCTCTTTGACCATGATACAGGTCGTGAGCTCGCGGTCAGCGGAGTCATACTTGCCGGTCAGTAGGGCCAGCGCTTTAAACAGTGATCGGCTGGCCGTGATCACTAGATCCAGGTCGCAGTCAAGCAGAACCTGCGCGTCAAGCGCCCCCGGCACAAATTCTGCGCCTTGCAGCAGTTTAATGAGACGTTGCACTGCTTCCATTGTGCTAGTGGCTGCTTGTGGAGTCGATGTCGGTCCCCCATGCGGTCCGATCAGCTCCGGTTCCAAGATGGTCAGCACTGGGTCCGTCGATAGTTTGAAGCTAAGTCCAGTGCAAACGATGTTGCAGCTGATCGGTCTTACAACCTTCCATCTTGACCCTTTCTGCCCTGCTTATTTCTTGACCATCACCCTCGGAGTCAGGCGCGCGTAGCTTGGGAGCCGTAGCCTTCGATTTATTCTTTTTCTTTGTGTACGGTTTTGTGCTAGACGAAACGTGTCCTGATTTGGCTGGACGTATTTCATTTAGCGGGTCGTACTTTGCAGTACGATCCGCAGTGGTCCCCGATACGACCTCAGGAGGGAAAAGTGGTTTTTCTACTTCGAGATCATTTTGGCGATCTTCCTCTTTGAAATTTTGTTCGTTCGAGCCCCTCTTAAAATTCTGCCGAACCGAGGGTCCTTTAAAATCACGTGTTGGAGGCGATCCCTTCTTCGCCGAGACTTTGATCCTCGGTTCAATCTTGACCTTGACATCTTCGCTCTGGGATTCACGATGAAATCCCGAGGCAACAAAAGATCCGGGCACGCGCACCGTTGTGGTGGAGTGATATTCGCTCATTTGCATAGCGATCCTGACTCCCCACTTGCACCCGGACGACCGACTAGCGGAGGGGGTACTCCGGACCGTGTGTCTTGTCTTGTTCCTTATCACCTTGTGTACCCGTCGGCGGGCGGTTGCACTCTTCTAGGTGTCTTGAGACCGATATCTTGTCTTGACCGAGTTAAGGATAGGTGGGGTGTGGTCGCGTGGTAATTTTTCACACGACCAACGGTTACTAGTGGCACTCTTCTAGAGTTGCCTGACCTTCCTTGAGGTCGCCTTGCCCAAATGTGGATACTTAATCCCCCTTGTTCTTCTGACCACTTGATCACCTTGTCCTTCTGATCACTTGAGCCGTCTGAAGACCTTGCCTTGTATACTTGCCGCGTCCGATCACGGTCTAACTTGAATGAGTACACTTGTCCCTAGCCAAACAATCTAGGGACAAACCTTGAGTAAACACGCAGACAGTAAACCTTGTACGTCGGGTAGCCACTAGCATTTCAGCCCGGAGGAATGCTGACGCGTGTCTTTTGTAGGAAAATAGATGCTGTTCGTTACTAACCTGTTAATGGCTAGAACTACGTTTACAATTCTCTTTATCTCAGTCTTCTGCTACGTTGTTCGCCTGCCACCACCCATTCCCTGTGCTTGAAGTAAACCACCTCAACTGCCAACATGACGGCTGGTCATCTTGCAGTGACCATGACCACTGGTCACCCATCGTCCCGTGACCACTGGTCACCCATCGTGACCATGACCGCTGGTCACCCATCGTGACCATGACTACTGGCACCCATCATGACCGTGACCACTCATCATGATTATGACCACTGGTCGCCCATAGTGACCGTGACCGCTGGTCATTCATTGTGACCATGACCGGTTAGTCATTCGCCGTGACCCTAACCGGTGGTCATAATCTGTGACCGCCACTGATGACTTGCAAACCGTCCAGCTTATCGTTGGGAATTTTGTATCGGTCAGTCCCAAGACCGTCATGACCGGTCCCACATGCACTTACGAGGTGATCACGGCGATTGGTCAGGATTTCCTTTGACCACTTCACCACACCTACACTAAAAACAGTTTAAATCGTGCTGCGCGCCACTTCATGTACACCGTACGTGGAGAAGAAGGCTAGCTAGTGACGGCGCGTTCAATAGGAGTAGAAAGTTAACTGTCTCAATATCATTAAGTCCTGATTATTGACCTAAGTCGTAGTTCTTACTTAATTATACTAATCAACAAAAATGTAAGGTAGTGTCTTGCTCACCACTCATTGCGCGCGTCCATCGTTGATTAGTATGCTTGAGCTGACTGAGATAATAGCCCGTATCAGCCAATCGGTGAGTGTTTTTGCATTATACCCCCAAATGGCAATATTCACGGATATTGACAACCTTTAAGATAATATTTTGATGAACAAGTATGAAGATTAGTTACGTGTCACGGACTCACCCGTTACGGGCTCGGCTTTATTGGTCGATATCATCAATTTACTTTAATTAGTGAGCAGTGTATGGGGTTAGTGGTTCAGATTGTCGATTTCGATGGTTATGTTAACTATGTGCAATCTCCGGTATGTATTTAGCGATGCCGTAATCGCCGGTCGGTGACTCGGGGGCTGACTATGACTTAAGCCAGTAAATACTGGCATCTCTGTAGGTTCGCGCTCCATCAACTCAATGTATTCAAAAAGCATGGCACCCAAAGTTGCGGTCGCTACTTTCCGATGCTCTCTCTTCGCGATCACACGCAGGCGACAGATGCAGGTGGCCCAATAACTGCGTGCTTCCACAATTAATGAGCAGTGTATTACTTTCTGCACCAGAACTGCTTTTTAAGCTAATATCGTGAGAATCCGATGTCCGTCGTAACATAATCTTAATGCTACAATTTTACCTTATGTAAAGTATCATGTAACGGATGCACCCCGTAGCAAAGTCTCAGTAGAAAATCGATGGTCAAAAGTCTGTTTAAAATTCAGGCTCCGTATGGTAAAAAGTACAAGGACTGTTTGCGTTGCCTCCACACAAGAGCGAAAATGTAGTCTGTCAAAGAAGGGTAATTAGACCTGCCCTCCGGCGTCCTTTTGCTTTGACAATACTTTTTGCACATACAGCTGTGCTTCTCCGAAGGAAGTTAACCTGCTACTGGTATGCAGTTGCTCTGCTTTAATACTGCTTCTTGTGGATTGTTGCTTCATGGACATGACGGAAAACATTGTTTAAAGACAGGACGAATAGAATGTCGATCAGATATGATCAATCTTTCAGCTTCCGCAAATGTCTGATGATTGGTAGCAGTCGTTCTCTGTGCAACGTGCGACCACGACTTTTAAGTCGCACCTTCACATATAGTTTCCCTAGGTTACCATAGCTGCGGATAGTGGCTCCTTGCATTAAGGCTTAGTAATCGTTGTCCACGTAGGTATGGTCATTTACGCAGAAATACCTCTCTTTTCTTGTGAAATTTACCACTGTCTGACTACATGCACGTTTGCCAGCTGAAGTACATTTTTCGGTCGTACCATGATTCGATCACAATTTCTTTCTCGTCCAAGCCATCTTGCTATAAAGGACAAGCACGAATTTTCTCAAGCAGCCTAGTTTTGTCCGATTTACTTTCTTCCTGGAAGTCAGGGTGAAAAAGCTGATACCGCATAGCGCACAATACACAAAGACGATGCAAAACTCGAATCACATCACTGTTTGAGCTCTGTACTATACTTTGCTACAGAAGAAAGAATGCAATGGAGAAAAGTCTGTGGTTGGGTCTGGCTCTACAAACGCTTCCTCTTATCCCATCGCTGGCCTGCTATGAGGCTTGACAGGACTCAAGAAACGTCAATTTGCAATTTGCCGCATCAACCATAAGCCAACTCTGTAACGGGGCACCCTGAAGCTTGTACTGGTGACAGTACAAGCTATTTATTCTGATGACAGAATAAGGCGGTGCCTCGGAACTTCACGTACACTCGTACGTGCAGAGGAAGACGGTAAGAAGAAGCGAGTACTTGGTTAAAGTAAAAAGTAGAACTGTATTTAGTATAGTTAATGTCTGCAATAAATCACTATTTATCTTCATTTAACTATGTCTAAATACAAATGTGTAAATCAGTTATCTGCTCACCACTCATTGCGTGCGTCTGTCGTGGTGCGTCTTCGTTGGTTGATATAATGGCCTATATCAACCAATTAGGAACTACTCGTAAGTGCTACAGAATATTTGTCCTTATGACAATATTCTGAGAATATGCCTCTTATAGTTATATTCTATTAACAATTTCTTATAAATTGTTATGTAACGATTCACCCCGTTACATCACCCACCTTAACCATCAGTCAATTCAGTGACTGATTGACTAAATGGATACTCGTCCCAAATCATTTAGGACAGGGTTTGCACTTGTTGGTCCGAGTACACTTTCCAACATCTCATCGCATGGTTAACAAGCCCATGCGATGCGCGAGCAAAGCCGCCGAGAGCGCGTCCGCACGTCTCTATGCGGACGCCGAAGCAGAAACCACAGCAACTGATGTCTCATTGGTTGCTGAAACGACTCAGCCTGTGTCACTTGGTGATGCAGGCGCTGGTCATGAAGACACTCATGTCTTCACAGAGTATGAGCTCGGTGTCTCATACTCTCCTGATACGGAAGACGGATCCGTATCGACGGCGATCGAATCCAAGCATCCTGCCAAGCGTGGCATGGACGATGCTTTGCGTCGCAGCATCTTTGGTTCATCTGATGAATCAGATGAACCATCGCCGAAGCGAAGGCGCTCGAGGTCGCGAGACTCGGGCGCTAATAGTGGTGTCGGTTCTCCTATGGACACCACTTCACAGCGAGGTGCCAGTACTTCTGTCGGCACGTCGCAGGAAGATCGGGACCGCAATGTGTTGCGTCTCGCTCCTGAGAAGAAGGCATGGATGCCTCCCAAATCTGTCATGGATCACTTTTCGGCGACGACGAGTGATCGTTATCGAACACGATTGTTCGATTCGTCAAGGATCCATCACCTTGACCCCAGCGCGAAAGACTATCGCGCTGAACATGAATTCTTCATCGATGCTTTCTTTAGACATCGATGGTACAGTGGTAATCACAAACGTGATGGTCCCTCACTACTTCAGGCGTGGAACGCCTACATCCATAACCTTGAGGATGTAGGTCGTGACGCTTGGAACGACAAACTTATCAAAGGTCGTGATAAGTTTGAAAAGTGAACCCCGACAGGTGCACGCTACAAGCTGCATCGTCTGTCAAGGGAGAAAGGATTACCCTGCCTCTCTTGGGGAGACTCGTGCCCATGTTGTGTGAACAACTCTGCACGAGCACCTAAGGAGGCTTACCTCCTTACCAGCCCGTGGTGGCGCGTACGTATCTCTACTG